GGTTTAGTAGCGGAATTGAGTTTGGTTCAACTGGAATCAACTCTTAGATGTGATAGTCAGAGTACTATTCATCTAATGAAAAATCAGAGATTTCATGAACGCACTAAACACATTGATGTCAGATTTCATTTTATTCGAGATGTTGTTGAAGAGGGAACTATCAAGGTCGTAAAGGTTATCACAGACGATAGTGCTGCAGATATGTTGACCAAGATAGTCCCACTCGCTAAGTTTGCACACTGCAAGGACTTGGCGGGGGTGTGCATCAACTGATGCAACTCCGAAGAGAACAGTTGTTAGGTGGAGGTGGTATGTTCAACAATGGTTTGATTCTTCTTGTTTCTTACAACGGGGTTGCCCAGTAAGCTTAGAAGTTTTGGCCAGAGTTGTTCACACGCACGCTCGAAACGCAAACCAAGGTGGAGATTGAAGGTGTTGGTTTATGTTTAGTCAACAATGGCATGCCAATTGGAAGAGTTGGTGGAAAGAGTTGGTGTGGATGCTAGGAGGAAGCTTCCTCCTTTGATGTCACCCATGACATCAAGAGGAGGTAGTTTGATGTCACCAATGACATCAAGAGGAGGTCTTTACCTCTATAAATAGGTGCACTGCTTCATTTGTAGAAACCATCCCAAAAATAATACAACACATTGTAGTGAGTAGAGAGTTAAGAGAGAAATTCTCTTAAGTGTAATTGGGAACTCTCCCCTTCCTTTGTTAATATTAAAAAGACAACTGTTCTCTGGTGGACGTAGGATTATTTTGATCCGAACCACGTTAAATCTTGTGTTCTTTCTTTTACGTTTCCGCTAACAGTTTGTTGTGTGTGTGTCAGATCCTCCAAAAGCATCCATTTTTGGAGGATCCGACACGCACATTTCGGAGAGCCCGTGCAACATATTAGTGACTCAGCAACATGACTATAAGCAAGGTGTCCGGTTTGCTAGTGTTCATCGTTCTTTTTGGCATGAGTAGGAGTCTCACATTGGGTCAATCAGTGGCTTATTACTATACCACCAACATATTTAGAACTTCTAAGGGTCATTGCAGAAACAAATATTGCATGGTGAATACACGTCAATCCAAACTTTTAAAGGAACAAATGAACATTTGTGTTTTACACTATATAGTCAATACTAGTGACACTTGAGCTTTTCTTTTTTTCCTGATATATAGTCAGTATTAGTGCAATATGCTGGACTTGTGCTCTGAATTTACTTCACTTGTTTAAGCATCATGATTTTTGCCAAGAATGTGCACTTAAGCTTAGATGTTATTTCCTATTGTTTTGCTGTTCTTCAGCAACTATAGTCATTTATTTATTGTATTTATTACAGGTGCTTGCAAATAGGCCTGATATCATAAGAGAAGATTACATGAATGAACTTTGCATTCTTCAAGATGACGTTCCTGCATTTCCTAATCAGGTAATGAGATGACAACTGAGGTGCAGTTGATGCATGCTTTGTTACATAGACCACTTTTCCTTTGAACAGAAATCATTGACAATGATGTAGAAATGTAGGTTGCTTTTAACATCATAGAAGAGGAATTGGGCCAGCCTCTTGAAGCTGTTTTCAGCAAAATTTCTTCAGAAACTATTGCAGCTGCAAGTTTGGGTCAAGTATACCGTGCTACTTTACGTGCTTCAGGGGAAGATGTTGCCATAAAGGTTTGGCCTTTTCCTGTTGGTCTTGCAATCTTTCTTTTCTCTCGCCTGGTTTTACTGCTAAACCATTGAAGCCTGTTCTCGTCTTGTCGCCTGTGTCAACCGGACTTTCAACGATCTCCTTTTATAGTCATTTGGAGAAATACCTGTTGCAGAACGAGTAACAGTAAAAAGATGATTGTCCATTACATAAATAGCTGAAAAATATCTGGATAGCCATTGGAAATAGTCAAGTAGTAAAAGCTCTATAGATTTGTTAAGGTCCGGTATTTGAAACTTGGCAGAAATGAGTCTAGAGAATCCTTTGTGTTATCTAATCATTCCTTTTCTTTATGCTAGTTTCACCTTTAACATATATGCATCTCATTTGAAGCTTCTGGCTGTTTTGGAGAAGCTTCAATGAATTGAATTAACAATATGATGCAGTGGTATTCATAATTGGGGTTTACTCTTTTTGTTTTTTTAGGTTCAAAGGCCTCAGATAGAGCCTATCATCTACAGAGATCTTTTTCTCTTCCGCACTCTGGCTTCATTCTTGAATGGCATCAGTCTACAGAAACTGGGGTGCAACGCGGAGCTTATAGTTGATGAATTTGGTGAGAAGCTATTGGAGGAGTTGGATTATACCTTGGTAATGCTGCACATTCCTCTTTTTGCAAACTGAATGGTGAAAGAAGTTTTGCTTATATTGGAAGGCTTTCACGTCTGTATTTTCTAATATCCCTCCTACCTTCTCTTTTTTTTCCCCTTTAGGAAGCTCGTAATATCGAAGACTTCTTGGAGAATTTCAAAGATGATCCTACTGTTAAAATACCTCGGGTTTACAGACAGCTTTCTGGTCCACGTGTTTTGGTAATGGAGTGGATCGATGGAATCCGGTGCACTGATCCACAGGTGTGGATCTTTAGAGTTTTCCTCAAATGCATGCTTTGGGATGTCTTCTTTATATTAATACGTTATGATCCCTGTGACTTAGGCAATCAGAGAGGCAGGAATTGATATAGGTGGATTTTTGACTGTTGGAGTTAGTGCAGCCTTACGGCAGCTACTTGAATTTGGCCTATTCCACGGCGACCCTCACCCTGGGAATGTCTTTGCCATGCGTGACGGACGCATTGCCTATGTGGATTTTGGCAATGTTGCTGTGCTTAGTCAGGTAAATAATATGATGTGATTTGACTGTACTTCTCAGTGAAATTAGTTGAGTAACAATTTACAAGAGCAGCTCCTCATTTAGAAGTCTTAGGTTATGTACAATATGTTAGAAATTATTCTCTTTAACGAACAGGGTAAGTAAATACAAAATACTCTATCGTCTCCTTGTGAATATAATGAAATACTCTCCAAATTTATCCTAGTTAAGTTCACTGAATTAAGTTAACTTAATTTGATTCTATCTGCGTGTCTTCTCTTTTTCAGCAAAATAAACAGATTCTGATTGATGCTGTTGTGCATGCGGTGAATGAGGACTATGGCGAGATGGCAAATGATTTTACCAGGCTTGGATTCCTAGCTAGTGGAACTGATGTTGCCCCCATTGTTCCAGCATTAGAAGCAATATGGCAAAACTCCCTTGAAAAAGGACTTGCTGATTTTAATTTTAGAAGTGTTACAGGTACCTTGAATCACACGCTTTGTTTCCTGTTAATTGCACTCTGCTTCCAACATCTACAATTTTTTTGTTTTTTCCTGGGAAGCACATTACTTGGTAATTATGCTATTTGAAGTTGGCGCTAGGAGATATGCTAAGAATGAGAGACATTGTGATGCACTGAACAACAAGCTCTCATAGTTCAGATCCTTATGACACCTAAAATTTGCATGCCAGCACACTTGGTTGCACCAAGAGAAAGATTAAGCCATTTTTTTTGTTGGTTTTAATGTTTCCCTTCGTTCGATACTGTGTATTTTAGAAATTGATAACCTACTAATTTGAGCTTAGTATGTCTAAAGTATGACATTTCATGCTTTGACTGGTGCACGCTTGCCTCGGTTTATCAATTTGTTTTATTTGATTAGCATCCTTGGCCTGGGAAGAGATTAGATACTATACAGTATTGGCCTGTGGTATGGCCCGAAATATTGTATTTGTAGCTTCACCTAGAACACTTTAGTTTTTTAGAGATGAGAAAATCTTTTGACTGGAAATTTGTGCTGCAACCTACCCCAGTGCCCTAACTCGTGTGATGCAAGGATATATACTTTATTGTCTTCGTCTGTTTTTGATGAAGTAATGAGTTTTATAGAAAAAGGCATCAAGAAAATGTAAGAAGTACAAGAGGGGGAAAGAGTCAGCTTTGATACAAAAAAGAAAAGAAATACTAGGCTAAAGCAAAAGAGCTGACAAAATCCAAAAAGTTGATATGGCAATCTACAGGGGCTAAATACTGCCAACTAAATAACCAAAGGAGACATCTAGCTTTAAGTTTGTGTGTTGGAGTTGATATCCCATCAAAACATCTGCGATTCCTTTCTGTCCAGACACACCAAAAGATACAAGCAGGGATCATCTACCAGACTTTCCTGATGACTCTATCAACTTTCCAACCAGACCAGCATTCATAGACCTCTCTGATGCTTTGTGGCATGACTCAACTGAGACCAAAGATAGAAAGAAACATGCACCACATGTCTGAGGCAACTGAGCAATGTAGCAAAAGGTGTCTGTTGGACTCTGAATGTTGCCGGCACATAAAACATCTGTTAACAATTGGCATACCTCTTCTGTTAAGGTTGTCCTATGTTAAACAAGATCCATTAAGGGCTATCCAGCTGAAGCAAATGATCTTTGGGGGAAGACTTGTCTTCCAGATGTACTTCCAAGGCCATCTATCAATGATTTCATTAGTTGAGCATAAATGAGAGTACCCTGCTTTCACTGAGTAGAGGCCATTCATCCACTTAATATTGTCAGCAATGTTGTGGTTGACTGAGTATCCCTCTAATTTAGCCAGGAGACTCAACAACTGTGGAATTTCCCAGTCTTGGAAGTCCCTTCTGAATTGGATTTGCCAGCAATTGTCTTGCCAATTCTGAGAGATAGAGGAATCTTGATCATTAGCTATCTGGTAGAGGTCTGAGAATTCATTCATTAGGACAGTCCCCTGTAACCATCTATCCTTCCAAAATCTGATGTTGATGCCATTTCCTAACTTGAAAGAGGTATTCGTAGAGAATTCATTCCAAAGTTTCCTGATAAATTTCCAAGGCCCTACTCCATATGGTCTTCTTGACAGATTGGTGCACCAGTGGCTTTGAGATCCATGAATTGCAGTTACCACCTGTTTCCATAGCGTATTCCCTTCTTGACAATATCTCCATAGCCACTTCATAAGCATGCACTTATTATGTATGTTGAGGTCCCTGATACCTAGTCCACCAAGTTGCTTTGGCATGGTAACTTTTGACCATTTGACTAAGTGAAGTTTGTGACCCTTGCTGCCTCCTTCCCAGAGGAAGGTTCTTCTGATTTTATCCAACTGCTTGATTACCTTGTTCGGAATTGGAATCAGAGACATGAGATAAGTAGGAATACTATCCAATACACTATTAATGAGTGTCAATCTCCCCCCATAGAAAGATATTGTCTCCGCCAAGAGGCTAACTTTGTTTCAAACTTCTCAATCACACCACTCCAAACTTCAGTTGATTTAAATTTAGCACCAAGTGGGAGTCCCAAATATGTAGTTGGTAGTGCAGCTATATCACAAGATAGGATTCCGGCTAATTCATCAAGGTTGGGGACATTGTTGACTGAATATACCTTGCTTTTCAACATATTGATATGCAAGCCTGAGATAGCCTCAAAAAGTTGTAATGTGAGATTGAGATATAATACTTGAGATCTCTCTGCCCCACAGAAAATGAGTGTATCATCTGCGTATAAAAGATGGGAGACAGAGAGAGAAATCTCAGGATACAGGCTTACATGAAAACCATTGAGCCACTGTAGTTGTTTGGCTTTGTCAAGCATCTTGCTCAGACCCTCCATGGCCAAAATAAAGAGGAAAGGTGAGAGGGGATCACCTTGTCTCAAACCCTTCTGTGGAGAGAAAAAACCCACTGGTCCCCTGTTAACAAGAACTGAATATTTTACTATAGTGATGCAAAACTTAATCCACTTTAGCCACCTATTCCCAAAGCCCATCTTCTTGAGAACTGCTAAGAGATAAGACCAGTTTAGCTTATCAAAGGCCTTCTCCACATCCAGTTTGCATAGAATACCCGGCTGACCACTCTTAAGTTGGCAATCCAGAACCTCAAGAAAACCAGTTTATTGTATTCGTCTGTTTTGCTGATCAAGATGTTAAAAGGAGTTAGGTGCATTTGGTAATTGGAAAATTCCATGACGAAGTCATTTTTAGTGTTTGTTCCGGAAAATATTTTTACCAGGAGGAAAGTAACTTCCTTCACTTATAGGCGGAAGTCATTTTCCTTTACGATAATCCCAATTCTTACTCCATATCACTTGCTCCAACCAACACTTAAATATAATTATCAACATTTAATACTCGATGAAACACTATCCAACTGACATTAGTATCAATCCTTAATGAATATTGTTTTACGAAAATTATCTAGTCACCAACCAAACACTGATAAATAAGTGAGGAAACCGCTTATTTCCCTAGAAAACATTTTCCTTCGTACCAAACGCTTTATAGGTTAAAAGAAATTAGATATAATGAAAATACAGCTCTAAATAGTTCCTATTTTTTTCATCTGTTGCGACAATGCTTTGTAGACTGTATGGTTACTAATCTGTTTTGCTTAGTCAAAAACAAGCATTATGAGACTTTTATAGAGATTGACTATCCTATTTGTCTAACTGCAAAGTGGCTACATGGAGGCCTATGTTGTTAACCTAATTTGAGTTCAGTAACTCCATGTGACCATTTGGAACATTTTATCTTCTAATGATTGGCATTTGTGACGATCAATTCGGCTAATTAAGATTGCACCAGTAATTTTTTATTCTTTGCTGTTTGAAGACTCCTGGATTTATCAATTGAAATATATGATGTAAGTGCTGCCAGAGATAAAGTTCAATCTGGTCTCTAACAATGTAAATAATACTCTCATGCAGGCAAATTCAATCAACTAGTTTACAACTATCCTATCCGGATACCAGAAAGGTTTTCTCTCGTTATTCGCTCCCTATTGACTCAAGAAGGCATTTGTTTGACCCTGGAACCAGATTTCAAGTTTCTGGAGGTGAAACATCTAGCTTCTTATCTCGCAACTTTTGGAAAAATGCATGTTTACTATTATTTTATCGTTTAATAAGCCATTTGGTAATGCTGTTGGTCGGAAAAGCAGAAAAATTTCTCCACTACTCATTTGAATAAAAATTGAACCTGTTGATCCGCTGACACTAAGTTTGATTTAAAAAAAGAAAAGAAAAAGACCTGCTTGGAAATAATTTTGAAGTTTGGTATCACTCTGGACTAAAGTAGACTTTAGCTCATACTCATGGCCCCTTGAAAATTCTACTGAAGCACATTCTGTAATCTCTACCCTGCTTTTTAGACAGTGTAGCAATTAAGGCTACAGGCAAATTTTATTAATCGATGAATCATAGGGCTGTTTTGATTTTTAAGCATTCGCCCATTTTTGTCATGACATGTTGTCAAATAATATGAGGAGGCCTTCTGCTGAAAATATTTGATTCTAGTAATCTTACTCTTTTATGCATGCTATTTTTTGCATACCTTTTTTCGTATGTTTATGCTATTAATAATCATGAACATCATTCCAGGTAGCCTATCCTTATGTGGCAAAGCGTCTCCTAACAGATCCTAACCCAGCTTTACGTGAACGCCTTATACAGGTTGGTTAATCTTCTCTCATTGTACCATGCTTTATGAAGAGCGTAGTATTTTCTATTTAACCTCTTAGTCAACCTTTCTGAAACTCTTTTGTCGAAGTTGGATGATTTGGTGTCAACATAAAAGATATTTTTATATGTTAATCTTTAACAAGTGTAAATTTAGACCTGAGATAGTTCTCGATAAGCTATTCAAAAATAACGACAGAATGAAGACAAGGAGTTGCATGAGTGAATGACATCATTCTGAGACATCCCTAAATAATGGTATTTCCAGTTCTATGGCTTATCTGACTTGACTTGTTGGGGACCATGGCTCGACAGTTATGATATACTTAACTTTTGATATTTATGGCTGACGCCTTAACGTTTTCTGGAAATCAGTGTCAAATTTAATTATATGGAACATGTACTCTATATTACCATTCATTTAGTTTACGATGAATTGTATATCCAGAGGCAACCAATAGGAAGTATGGGTGGAAATGCAACCAATCCGGATGGACATAAAGTTTATCTTGTAGAAAATGGATCCAATCTGCTCCATATAATCCTTGCTTTTGCAACTAGCGTTGTGTTCTGATAGGTCGGATCAGATTGAAGTTCAACTGTTAATCTCGTGATAGCTAACTCGTGGATTATCCAGCTCAAGAGTCAAAATTATTTCTATAATGAGAGAGTGGTCAACTTCTTAAACCATACTGTGTCATCAGGTATCTGGTCAAAAAGTAAAGCATATTGTTGTATTCAATAGTAGTTGGATTGAAAGTAAAATCAAGAGGGAGGCTTTTCGAAAGAGTGTCTTGATTGAGTCCGGTCTGATCTTCCGCATCAATTAGCGCATAGGTATTTCCTACGCAAGCTATTGACAGTATCTGTTTTCCTTCCGGATATTGTTCTCTTGTTAGGTTCTGTTCAAGGATGGTCTCTTCCAGTGGAAACAACTGGAGAACCTGATAACTCTAGCAAAGGAAAATGTCACAAAACTGAGCGAAAACCCTGCATTTCGAGGGAATAATAGGTAACTTCTTGGCAAACCTTGTTTGGCGAAGTATAGTTATCGTGTTCCACTGTTATCACACTTTTCTGGTATGTTTTCGTCAGAGGAACCAGCAAACATTTGAAGATTGAACAGAAACTAGACCTCACTGACACAATCAAGGATGGAGCTCGACTTTTCATACTTGATGAAGGAATTCGCAGGCAGCTTCTTCTTGCTTTGACCGAAGACTCCAAGCTTCACATTGAAGAAGTATGTAATATCTGATTGATACATAGTTGTCTATGACGGAATATACTCAACTCTGATGCGGTTGTATCTTGCAGGTAGTTGATGTATATAGACTGCTTGAAGACCAGGTAGATGTACCTTCAATGGCTTTAGGACTAGCACAAGGTATAAGTCCATTAGCCTTTCCTCCAGTTACATACTAGTAAATCATACATTTCATGACTTCATCGCGAACTTTACGCGTCTTAACTTTTGCAGACTTACCATCTGTTGCTCGAGATATATTGCTTTCATGAAGTGCCTCTGTATTATCAGACCGATAGTTCCCTTCTGAGTGTATTCCTCGACGCTGATAATATTTAAATTTGTTATCCTTATGTAAAGTTGAGTTCTCCCTCTCCGCCCTTCCCTTCTTTCTCTTATTTCTTCTCCTCTTGGTCGCATTTTTCCTGTGTGATCCAGGTGGAATCTCCAAAGTTTTGGGTAAATATATTTGTATAGTTACAGGGGAAGCAGTAAAGATATGAAAGTCGTGTAATATGAGAAATTCGTGTTGATAACACCAAAATTTCACAGGTATGATGCAACGTGCAAACGTATCGAAAAGAGAGCATCATGTATAGTAGTGATTCTTATGCAGTTCTTGTTTGCTGAAAACCGGGCACCTATTTTTCTTGATTTTATTTTGTTTGAAATGCTCATTGCAAGTCCATATCCCCTTCTCACTACTGTTCTGCATATAATAAGCCTTTTGGCATGTATAAACTTGGTGCCTGCATATATTTGTGCTTATAATGTTACCAAGATGCAAGCTACATCTAAAGACTAATTCATGCAACGTAGCCATCACTTCATTAATTCCTGAGAACTTTAAGTAATTTTAACTTACTCGTTCTTAACCATTAATTACTCTCGCCTCTTGGTTCGTCTAGTGCGTGTAATGTTATCAAGATGCAAACCATATTTAAAAGGGTATGCAAATAAAGTACGTACAAATGCTAAGTAATTATATGTGAAAATTATTCTATAGTTTTCGTACTCGTTTATTGAACATCTCTCAATGAATAATACTATAACCAATTCAGATACTTAACTTGTTAATGGACGCACACTGGTTTTTCAACTTTTCATCTCTTGTCGCTCTGAAGGAACTCGAGTTAGGTAGGAAGAAACCAAAGGATAATATGTAGTCATAATGTTGCGGCCAAATACACACGCAAGTATACGTAGTTGTCAAATAATAAAGTGACTAAAGTCAGATGTCGAACCCACAAAGACTTATAATTTAAATTAACTAGATTAAACTATCCTAATTATCTAAATAAGAATTAGATCCAAGAGTATTTGACTCTAACTAACTAAAATAAAAAAGACAAATACCGAACTTTAAATAGATGAAATGCAGATTTTTATGTTATCGATGTGATGAACTCGATCTAAGGTTATGTGCTATCTAACAATTCTATTGTATTCTCAACTAATTCAACTTCTTTATCTATCTAGTTTACTAGTTGACCGAATCGTTTATATACATAACATGTTACCACAATACTACCTGCTTATCCACAATATATCAACTCTATATTGCTACGGTATTGAATTTATCAATGAATAAAGAACACGACATTCAACTAAGCAAGATTGTTAGGTATATCCCTGTCCTAACCGCGAAATCATTTCCCGAGCTACGTGTTTAGAAACAAGCTCTATTCAATCCTATTTGCAATCTAGAATTCTTTCTCCTGAATTCAACTCTAGATTCGTAGTATTCAATTGGTGATCAAGCAATCAAATATTTAAGGGCATGAGTGAATAAATAAACCATTATAATAAATCAAGAAATTAAAATCAGTTTTCAAACAACAATGGTCATGATAGAACCATAACCCTAGGGTTGTTTTATCCGATTTGATAGAAACTTCGGATGAATTTCTTGACATGCTTTTGAAAATATTCTTGAATTTGAAACAAGACTCGTGCACTTTGATTAAGTTATCATTTCTTTTTTCGAAATAAACTTGGTATTCAAGATTGTATAGCATCAGCCTTTACTTAGAACTCGAACTTCGATAATTAACTTCAATCACGAGTAAACCATTTGTTAAGAATTGATATTGGCACCAAGGGAGCAAAAAAATTGATCATAGCTCAATGGAAAAAATAAGAATTTTTTTCTCTCTTTAATAAAAAAAATTAGGAAACCCAAATGTATATGTGAGTGCCTATAATGACCGACGGATCTTTTTGAGCTTTAGCATTCCGTTTGGTGGTTCGAAACTTGTAGCTTCATTTGAGGCAATAAGACTTGTGTGTTTGGTTAGTTTTGATGTTCGAGAAGTTCGGGATTTTATTTAGCAGAGAAATTCACAATTTAGAAGCTTTAAGTTAAAGAGATGGCCAAGGTTTGACTTTTACGTAAACGGTCTCGGATTCGTATTTTGATGATTTCAATAGGTTCGCATGGTGATTTTAGACTTGGGAGTATGTCCAGATCTGAATTTGGAGGTTTCTTGGTTGAATTGGCTATTTTTGGCGAAAGTTGGCAATTTGAAGGTGTAGAAATTTCCTAAGTTTGATCATAGGTTGACTTTATGATTATCCGGTTCGGATTTTAGTTCGGGACTTGTAATAGATCTGCTCTATCTTTTGAAACTTTTGTGCAAAGTTTGGTGTCATTCCGAGTTGGTTTGGTAGGAATCAAAAGCTTGTTATAGTTTTTGCGATTCTTGAGTTTCATTGTGAATTCCATGTGTTTTGGTATTTGAATCGTAGTTCCAAATGTTATTTTGATATTTGAGCTTGCGAGCGAGTTCGTATGATTTTTTAGACTTGTGTGAATGTTTAGTGTGGAACCCGGGAGCCCGGGTGAGTTTCAGACGTGTTTCAGGTCATTTTTTGTTATGGTCAGGTGTTGCTAGTTCTGCAGGTCTCGCATTTGCGAGGCTAGGCTCGCAATTTCAATGTCCGCAATTGCAGACAACCCATCGCATTTGCGATGTAGGGCCAGGGGACCAATTTTGCATTTGCGGAGCTGGGTTAGAATTTTCGACATGCTCTGAGTTCGCATATGTGGACCATTGATCGCATTTGCGATGGCTTGTCCCTGGAGGATTTTCACATTTGCAAAAATTACAGTCGCATTTGTGATATTTTGCTGGGCAGGGGAGGTTCACATTTGTGAATATATTATCGCATTTGCGATAGCTGCTGAGGCAGCCTGGCTTCGCATTTGATGACCTGAGGTCACTTTTGCGGTAGTCGCACTACCTCTGGTCGCGAATGCGACATATGCAACTCGTTTATAGCTGGTTCATTCGGGACTTTGTCACGATTCAATTCTCACTATAGGTCGTGATGGTGCCCAACGTCACTGCTAGGCAAGCCAATGGTGAATTATCCATGTAATTATTTATTTTAATATTTCTGAAGTAATGGATTTTTATTTAATAAGAGGACGATTAACAGGTGATTGTAGTAATGTAAAGCATAAAATAATGAAAGAGTAAAATAGCGAGTTTAATAACAAAACCATAAAATGTCTTCTAGAATATTCCCAAACCCCAGTGTCACAAGTGCATGAGCAAACTAGTAGAATATACAAAACCTCCTATACTGCTGTCTGATGTAAGATAGACAGAAAATAAGTACAATAAGAAGAGACTTCGGGCGCTGTAGAACGGACATAAAGAACAGCTCACCACTAAGCCTCTGGATAAGTGGGTTACGCGCCTGAATGGTCGCCAGATGCACATGCCTTAGATCCTGCACGATTAGTGCGGAAGTGTAGCGTGAGTACATAAACAACATGTACCTAGTAAGTATCTAGTCTAACCTCGAAGAAGTAGTGACAAGGGGTCGACATCGACACTTACTAAGGGTTAATAAATAAAGTGAAGAAATTATAAATAGGCATGGAATACATGAGTAATGACCTAATAATGAACAATAAATAAGTGGTTCTTTAACTAGATGTCAATTAGGATCTCCAACTATTACATACTAGCTTCAACAAATAAGAGCCAACAAGAATTATAATTTCTCAAGTCATGGAAGAAATATCAAGTATAATCGGACTCCGAGCTATATCACGCATGTTTTATGCCAAGGTCGACGGCCCGAGGTTTCAGCCCGATCCACAAGAAGAGAGAATACGCTACGAACTCCGATTAATGGCAACTACAAGAATAATACACAAGGAGGCATGGTTTCCACTAACGGTCAAGTAACCTGCCAAAACTCAAAGTAATGAAGTTTGGTCTTTACAAATCCCTTATCAAATATCAAACACAATTTAAGTAATTAAACTAACAAGTTGAGTACGAATAATACAAGTAATACATGGTAGAGTCCTAAAAATACCCGTACATAAGCATGAGTTTTAGCAGCATGTGGACTCTCGGCACATTGTGCGCACGTAGCACCCGCAATTATTAGCAAAACAATTATTTATAATACCTACAAGGAGAATTCCCTCTTACAAGGTTAGGCAAGAGACTTACCTCATTGTCAAGTTCTTTTTTCTGTCCACAATTCACACTAAAGCCTCAAATCGGTGTCATGTAATCCGAAACTAGCCAAATATTGTATGAATTAATATATGCTCAAAAGTTCATAATTTAACTATTAGATTAATTACCCAACCCAAATTGGAAGATTTCTAAAATACACCCTCGGGCCCACATGTCCAGATTCCAAAATGTTTTGTAAATAAAAGTTACCCATAACCTCACGAACCCAAATATTAATTTCCACTCAATTCCATAATCATTTTCGTTGTCTACTCCCATTTTTATCAAAATCTAAGTTTTTCAAATTTTCACATTTTATATGTTACAATTTACCTATAATCTACGTATTAAACTCACATTGGGTAGGAATTACTTACCTTCAATAGCTAGATGAAAACCCCTCTGCAAGAAGCTCCAAAATCAGCCGAGGGAAATGAAAAATGAGAGAAAATTGCCTAAGTCCCGTTTTTAAAACATCACTGCCTAGGCATTCCTTCTTCGCGATCACAGAAGAGGACTCGCGAACGTGAAGGCTTGACTCGCCTGAGGGTCGACTGGCGCGAACCATAGATGCATTTATTATGTTGTCGAGGTGTTCAGCCCGATCCACAAGAAGAGAGAATAATCTACAAACTTCAATTAACGGCTACTGCAAAAATAATACACAAGGAGGCATGGTTTCCATTAACAGTCAAATAACTCGCCAAAACTCAAATTAATGAAGTTAGGTCTTTACAAAACCCTTATCAAATATCAAATACAATTTAAGTAATTAAACTAACAATTTGAGTATGAATAATACAAGTAATACACGGTAGAGTCCTAAAACTACCTGGACATAAGCATGATTCTTAGCTACATGCAGACTCTCGTCACTTCGTGCGCACGTAGCACCCACAATTATTAGCAAAACAATAATTTATAGTACCTACGGGGAGAATTCCCTCTTAAAAGGTTAGGTAAGAGACTTACCTCGTTGTCAAAGTCTCTTCCCGGTCCACAGTTCACACTAAAGCATCAAATCGGTGCCACGAAATCCGAAACTAGCAAAATATTGTATAGCTTATTCAATATATGCTCAAAAGTTCATAATTTAACTATTAGAGTAATTACCCAACCCTAATTGGAAGA